ATGATGCATCATTTCTGTGAATTCAGTCAATATGACTCACCTTGTTTGAAGAGCTTTCTAGCATTTCAATTATTTAACATGCCTCATTTTATTTTCACTTAATGCATGTAAGAGTTTGTGGTCTTATCACAGGGGAAAAGGGAGAGAGAGATGGTAGTGTGATTCTCCTCCCCAGCTCCTTCCTTGTTAAGACACAACTTTTGTTAACAAAATGAATGGAAGCTACGACTTAGCGACTTTTGGACTAATGGACCAATTTAATTTGCTTCTGCTATAAATTTGTCTTTTTTTGCTTCAATATTTAATATTCATACTTTATTGTTTAATCTCTGTTATTCTCCTTTTATTCACATCATTTTAATTCCCCCTGGAATGTGTTCTACCTTTTTCCCCCTCATTTATTTATTCTTTTATTAATTCTTCCATCCTTCTATTCATTTATCCTGCCATATTAAATACTAACGACTGTGTCTGGAGCAGGAGATATAAAAATGAACATAAAATCATTTCAGTCCTTAATGATTTCTCAGTTCAGTGAAGGAGAAAGATAAATAAATAAAATCTTTCCCCCCCATTTTTTTCCTATTTAATTTTTAAGAATATTATTCAATTTAACCTCATATTTATACATTTCTGCTCTACTCAATGATCCAGAAACAAAAACAGACATTTTATATATTCAAAGAGCTTAGAATTAAATTCAGAAAAAGTGCACCAGTCCTTGCTAATACAGTCCAAGTGTCTGCCTCTGGATAATTCCAAGCATTCAGAGCTCCTGGGTTTACCCATTCACTTGATACTCAAACTAAATTGCTCGTAAACTAAGTTCCTGTTCATTCCATGGGAAGCTCTGTTGTCTTCTGATATCTCCAAGGATTTTCATGGGGCTAAATTTCTCCTGATTACCTAAAACCCTTATTTATTACTCTTCTATGTTTTGAACTTGACTGTGTATCATGCCTCCATGGTGGACTTCTGCCTTCTTTTTGCCCTAACTTGACCCAGTGCCTTCACTACTTAAAGCAGCATCAACATCACTCTGTTTTTGTACAACAGCCTTTTGCCAAAGGCACAACAGAGAAAAGCGTCATCTTAAAATTTAATGTTCTTCATTGCTGTTCCAACATTCTGCTACTGTGCCTGTGGAGAGATTTCTCACTTGCTTGACTTCACATGATGGGCTCTTGCTCCTTCTCTGGAGAGAACTTTTCCATTCTATTCTCTTCAAAATTCAACTTCTTTCCAAATCTCCTATTCTCAAGCTGAGGCCAACTACTAAATTTTTATTATTTTACTATGAAGCATACCTTAGTTCTAGATCATGTCTAGTGTCTTTAGCTTTTACACATAAAAAAATCACCCATC